AAGTAAGTGGTTTGGTTTTATAAACTTTTTTTTCCCTTAGCTTATTACATGTACAAGTATATATAAAGTTTCTTATATATACCTCAAGGTTTTTCCACCCCCCCGACCTATTACAAAGCGATAACAAGGAGGAAAATGTGAGTATTCTGTGCTTTATATATGCATTTTAAGCTTTAAGAATTACTGTCAAAATAACTTGAGTATAATTGCTTTTTTATGAAACATTATATAATTTTAATCCAATTTTTAAAAATTAGCAGGACGTTTCTTTATGATTCAGTTTACTTGGGTTTTTATTTCCTTCCAAAAACCTGGAATGGGATTTTTAAAATTAAAGACACTATTGTTAGGGGCTATCATTATATAAATAGCTTTAAAACAGCTCACATGATGTTAGAGGAAATTTCCTTTAAATTACATATGAAAGTTAAATACTGGGTAACATAACTAGTTGTCTAAATTCTTTGAAGCATTTAAGTTACTTTTAAATTCTGTATTCTGTAAAATTTGCAAAATTTTATATTTCAGAGGACAAAGACAACTACAACTTAGCATTTTTTAAAATTATCAGACATAACTTAGTAATTAACCAACCATCTATAATTATTTTGAAGTGGATCTTGGCACTTCTTTCCAAGCCTCAGAGGGATTTTCATAATGTTCAAATGCTTCCTTGCCTTAGAGTGAAATAAGACTTCTATCTCTTTAAGAGAAAAAAAAATACTTAAAATTGTGAGAGGATGTTCTAATTTATTACTTCCATTCAAAAAGATAAGTTTCTTCCTTATGCAACCATATTGCTTAAAAGTTAATTTTAGCATTCATTTACTTCTGTGATTTCTTGCCTAGAAAATTACAGAGTACAGTGTTTTTATATATAGTAAATGTTGTCTCTTTTGCTCTCTGATCTCCCATTCTTCCAGAAAGCCCTATAGCCACTGCTATCCTCCAAATGAGCATGTTTGATTTAAAAAGGATCAGTGGATTACCTACTTTTAAAAGTAATAAGACACATAAAAACAAAATTATGTTAAACTTAATGTTGTTTGTGTATGCCTACTAGGTTAACTTTTTGAAATACTTGTATTTTACTCTCAAATATGTATAATTTCCTCTCTCTCTCTCTCTCTCTCTCTCTCTCTCTCTCTCTCTCTCTCATAGACTATAATGCTTTTCCAAAAATTCAGTAGGATTGGGTCAAAATTCAGATTTGTGCATAGCTAGAATCACATCTTTGAATATCAAATCCATGTCTTAATTTTTTTAATCATCTGACCAGTAGCTGTAAAAAACTAGTTGTCATTAAGATATTAACTTTTTTTCCTTCCCT